ACTTATCCAAAATAACGTTATAATCAAGTAAATACTTTTCCCTCCATTTTTCATCGGATTGCCTGCATGATTACAGCTCTGTGCATGTACTGTAGATTATCATAGAAAACGGGAAATTTGTATCATAAAAAATGGGAAATATCTACTTTCCGGGAAAGTTGGTTATCTACGTTCCCGAAAAGTTGATAGATTTTCTACTTTTCGGGAAAGTAGATTATCGACTTTTCGGGGAAGTAGATTTTCGAATTTTGGGGGAAATATTACCTAATTTTGCGAAGTAGATTATCATAGAAAACGGGAAATTTGTATCATAAAAAATGGGAAATATCTACTTTCCTACTTTCCGGGAAAGTTGGTTATCTACTTTCCCGAAAAGTAGACAGATTTTCTACTTCTCGGGAAAGTAGATTATCGACTTTTCGGGGAAGTAGATTTTCGAATTTTGGGGGAAATATTACCTAATTTTGCGAAGTAGATAATCATAGAAAACGGGAAATTTGTATCATAAAAAATGGGAAATATCTACTTTCCGGGAAAGTTGGTTATCTACTTTCCCGAAAAGTAGACAGATTTTCTACTTCTCGGGAAAGTAGATTATCGACTTTTCGGGGAAGTAGATTTTCGAATGTTGTGGGAAATATTACCTAATTTTGCGAAGTAGATTATCATAGAAAACGGGAAATTTGTATCATAAAAAATGGGAAATATCTACTTTCCCGGAAAGTTGGTTATCTACTTTCCCGAAAAGTAGACAGATTTTCTACTTCTCGGGAAAGTAGATTATCGACTTTTCGGTGAAGTAGATTTTCGAATTTTGGGGGAAATATTACCTAATTTTGCGAAGTAGATTATCATAGAAAACGGGAAATTTGTGTCATAAAAAATGGGAAATATCTACTTTCCGGGAAAGTTGGTTATCTACTTTCCCGAAAAGTAGATACATTTTCTACTTTTCGGGAAAGTAGATTATCCACTTTTCGGGGAAGTAGATTTTCGAATTTTGGGGGAAATATTACCTAATTTTGCGAAGTAGATTATCATAGAAAACGGGAAATTTGTATCATAAAAAATGGGAAATATCTACTTTCCGGGAAAGTTGGTTATCTACTTTCCCGAAAAGTAGATACGTTTTCTACTTTTCGGGAAAGTAGATTATCGACTTTTCGGGGAAGTAGATTTTCGAATTTTGGGGGAAATATTACGTAATTTTGCGACGTAGATTATCATAGAAAACGGGAAATTTGTATCATAAAAAATGGGAAATATCTACTTTCCGGGAAAGTTGGTTATCTACTTTCCCGAAAAGTAGATAGATTTTCTACTTTTCGGGAAAGTAGATTATCGACTTTTCGGGGAAGTAGATTTTCGAATTTGGGGGGAAATATTACCTAATTTTGCGAAGTAGATAATCATAGAAAACGGGAAATTTGTATCATAAAAAATGGGAAATATCTACTTTCCGGGAAAGTTGGTTATCTACTTTCCCGAAAAGTAGATAGATTTTCTACTTTTGGGAAAGTAGATTATCGACTTTTCGGGGCAGTAGATTTTCAATTTTGGGGGAAATATTACCTAATTTTGCGAAGTAGATTATCATAGAAAACGGGAAATTTGTATCATAAAAAATGGGAAATATCTACTTTCCGGGAAAGTTGGTTATCTACTTTCCCGAAAAGTAGACAGATTTTCTACTTCTCGGGAAAGTAGAGTATCGACTTTTCGGGGAAGTAGATTTTCGGAGAGTGGGGAAATATTACCTAATTTTGCGAAGTAGATTATCATAGAAAACGGGAAATTTGTATCATAAAAAATGGGAAATATCTACTTTCCGGGAAAGTTGGTTATCTACTTTCCCGAAAAGTAGACAGATTTTCTACTTCTCGGGAAAGTAGATTATCGACTTTTCGGGGAAGTAGATTTTCGAATTTTGGGGGAAATATTACCTAATTTTGCGAAGTAGATTATCATAGAAAACGGGAAATTTGTATCATGAAAAATGGGAAATATCTACTTTCCGGGAAAGTTGGTTATCTACTTTCCCGAAAAGTAGACAGATTTTCTACTTCTCGGGAAAGTAGATTATCGACTTATCGGGGAAGTAGATTTTCGAATTTTGGGGGAAATATTACCTAATTTTGCGAAGTAGATTATCATAGAAAACGGGAAATTTGTATCATAAAAAATGGGAAATATCTACTTTCCGGGAAAGTTGGTTATCTACTTCCCGAAAAGTAGACAGATTTTCTACTTCTCGGGAAAGTAGATTATCGACTTTTCGTGGAAGTAGATTTTCGAATTTTGGGGGAAATATTACCTAATTTTGCGAAGTAGATTATCATAGAAAACGGGAAATTTGTATCATAAAAAATGGGAAATATCTACTTTCCGGGAAAGTTGGTTATCTACTTTCCGGAAAAGTAGATAGATTTTCTACTTTTCGGGAAAGTAGATTATCGACTTTTCGGGGAAGTAGATTTTCGAATTCTGGGAGAAATATTACCTAATTTTGCGAAGTAGATTATCATAGAAAACGGGAAATTTGTATCATAAAAAATGGGAAATATCTACTTTCCGGGAAAGTTGGTTATCTACTTTCCCGAAAAGTAGATAGATTTTCTACTTTTTGGGAAAGTAGATTATCGACTTTTCGGGGAAGTAGATTTTCGAATTTTGGGGGAAATATTACCTAATTTTGCGAAGTAGATAATCATAGAAAACGGGAAATTTGTATCATAAAAATGGGAAATATCTACTTTCCGGGAAAGTTGGTTATCTACTTTCCCGAAAAGTAGATACATTTTCTACTTTTTGGGAAAGTAGATTATCGACTTTTCGGGGAAGTAGATTTTCGAATTTTGGGGGAAATATTACCTAATTTTGCGAAGTAGATAATCATAGAAAACGGGAAATTTGTATCATAAAAAATGGGAAATATCTACTTTCCGGGAAAGTTGGTTATCTACTTTCCCGAAAAGTAGATAGCTTTTCTTCTTTTCGGGAAAGTAGATTGTCGACTTTTCGGGGAAGCAGATTTTCGAATTTGGGGGGAAATATTACCTAATTTTGCGAAGTAGATTATCATAGAAAACGGGAAATTTGTATCATAAAAAATGGGAAATATCTACTTTCCGGGAAAGTTGGTTATCTACTTTCCCGAAAAGTAGATAGCTTTTCTTCTTTTCGGGAAAGTAGATTGTCGACTTTTCGGGGAAGCAGATTTTCGAATTTGGGGGAAATATTACATGCAATTTTGCGACGTAGATTACCTCAGAAAACGGGAAATTTGTATCATAAAAATGGGGAAATATCTACTTTCCGAAAGAGTTATTTTCCGAAAAAGTAGATAGATTTTCTACTTTTCGGGAAAGTAGATTATCGACTTTTCGGGGAAGTAGATTTTCGAATTTTGGGGGAAATATTACCTAATTTTGCGAAGTAGATTATCATAGAAAACGGGAAATTTGTATCATAAAAAATGGGAAATATCTACTTTCCGGGAAAGTTGGTTATCTACTTTCCCGAAAAGTAGACAGATTTTCTACTTTTCGGGAAAGTAGATTATCGACTTTTCGGGGAAGTAGATTTTCGAATTTTGGGGGAAATATTACCTAATTTTGCGAAGTAGATTATCATAGAAAACGGGAAATTTGTGTCATAAAAAACGGGAAATATCTACTTTCCGGGAAAGTTGGTTATCTACTTTCACGAAAAGTCGTATTATGTAATCTCTAAAAGCGGCCAAGATACCGCCATAGACTTAAACTATTATAACTCGTGGATCCAGTGTGTATTTGAGTTACGCTTTGCCCTATTGTGATATTGTTCCTTTGTTTTTAATGTTTTCCTCCAGAGAAAATAGTACGATGTTGATTTTATTCTTTTTGATGTGGAACAAACTAGACTTCTCGATTCACCTTGTCTTCACAAAACAACGCTTGGAGAATTATGTAATATTTTTAAAGATATAAAATGACACTTCACAGGCACCATTTCGTGATTTATTTTGTCTAACATATACTGTACACACAACTTGTATTATATCAAGTTAATAATAATACATAAAACTGAGTCTGACATGTGTGAGTGTTATAACTTGCACAAAACACGCCATTAAACCACTACTACAAGGAAACCAGTGGATACTTATTGGCCAAGGTAATTGGCAGCAGTAGTGGGGTACAGAGAATGGTAAAAAGAGACCCTGTTAATGCGCTCTTTTTCCATTTTGGTGATTTCACGTTTTTATAATTTTATTTTCTTCAAATTTTCTATTACAGTACGAGAGTTTTTACTGATTCTTTCTTCCATGTTAATAATTTTAAAGAGTTGGATACGTAAAGACAGATCTTTACAATACCAGGGGGAGTACCACAGTAACTTTAAATAGGTTAACAGTATATCTACCAGTCATCTTAAAATTTATAAGATGTTAAAGTAACAAGTGCAATCAACATTTGGATGAAGAAATCAATTGTATCATATTTCATATCTTTATAGAAGGTCTCTTGAAACAAAAATCTACATCAGAAGAGGCTTATGTTTGGCGTGAATATCTGGGGAGTTCTCTGATCTGTGGAGTTAACAGTCGTCAGCAGCGACAACACCTGTGTAGGCAAAGGGTGCGACAGCAGCAGCGACGGGGGCAGCGTATGCCACGGGGGCAGCCTGGTGGACGGTGACGGAGTGCACTGGAGTGGGCACGGGCACGGGGTGAGCCACGGGCACGGGTTGAGCCACGGGTACTGGCTGGGCATATGGTGTGGGTACCTGATTCCTTGATCTCAGGCTCAGTGTACTGGATGATGGTACCAGCGTGGTAGGGGTGTCGACGAAGTTGGGGGTGTGTTTCTCGACAGGGATCTCCTGGCGCTGGATGGTGACCTCTGGGGCTTTGTGGGTGATCTTGGAGAGGAGGGTGGTGGGTGGTGCGATGACAGGGGCAGCCAGGGATGGCTTATGGATGGTGGTGGTGGCTCCCGCTGCAATTGAGTGCAGTGGACCTTCTGGTGAACAGGCACCTCCACATGAGTACTGGTGATGGGCACCTGCACTTGTGCTGGGGGCAGAGCAACGGGTACTGGGGCAGGAGCAGCATAGGCAACAGGGGCCTGAGGATAGGCAACAGGGGCCTGAGCGTAGGCAACAGGGGCCTGAGCGTAGGCAACAGGGGCCTGACCATAGGCAACAGGGGCCTGAGGATAGGCAACAGGGGCCTGAGCGTAGGCAACAGGGGCCTGAGCGTAGGCAACAGGGGCAGCAGCCAGATCATACCCAGTAGCAGCTAGTCCATACCCAGCACCCAGACCATACCCGGCAGCTAGACCATACCCAGCATAAGGCAGAACTGCCTCAACACAGTCAGGATCAGCTTCAGGCACTGGGAGGGCCAGAGCCGCAGCAATCACGCCAAACAAAACCTGTGAACAAGGTGAAAAATATTACTTTTGAAACAATACCGATGACGTCTGTTTATTACCTAAAATGATTAAATTTCCTGATTCTAGTAGGCCTAATGTTTAACCCACTTAACGTTTGTTATGCAATTGCAAAACAAAAATAATTTGAAGTGGTCAAGTGTATTTACGAGTGAAATATTTCAAGTTTGGTAACTTGTAGAGAAAAGAAGAGTGGATGGGCGTAATTTTTTACAGTATTGGGTTTACGAGGTACTAGAACATTACTGGCGAAGCAAGCGTCACACTAGGATGCACCTCCATATATACGCTATACCCGACAGCAGAATGCCTAAGATAGGCAAGAGTGAAGAGCTGTGTTCTGGGTCTCGCTCACACAAACACACTGATGATAAGGTAGCTATTAACAACTTTCTATTACCGACGTTGCATAGCGTAAACAATTTTGGAAGTCGTCTCTACTCACATAAACTGATCACTAGTTCTTCGTCACAAATTACAGGATCTACAGTAAGATGCATTTCCACAATAAAGTATGATGTCGTAACCCCCTTGAATTCGATGTCTTGCCCCCTTGAGTACTATCTTAACCCATTGAATACGATACCTTAACCCCTGAGTACTATGTCTTAACCCCTTAAGTACTGCCTTAACCCCTTGAGTATAATTCCTTAACCCCTTAAGTACTGTCTTAGCCCCTTGAAAAAGATACGTTAACCCCTTGAGAAGGATACGTTAACCCCTTGAGAAGGATACGTTAACCCCTTGAGAAGGATACGTTAACCCTTTGAGAAGGATACGTTAACCCCTTAAGAAGGATACGTTAACCCCTTGAGTACGATACCTTAAACTCCTGAGTACTATGTCATAACCCTTTGAGTACGAACACAACCACAACCACTAAACGCCTGGCCATCATACTCAAGAGGTTAATGTGACCAATCTCACAGACCCAACGAGTGCATTAGTTACTGTTCTGTAAAAAAACAACAATTATAATAAATTCTGTATAAAAAGGGTTGGAATTGTCGCTCATGATCTTGTTGTTAGTGATGATAATACTGAAAAAGTGTGGGTGCGTGTGTTCGTTCGTTCTCGAGGTTTATTTGAGAGCCCCGGGTCCGGTAAAATTTAAACGAGCAGTGAACAATAACTGTCCACTCGACATATAGGGTTATGGTAGCTCGCAAATGTGAAGCCATTGTGAAACGTTTCGAACACATGTAGCTTTTAACTTGTAAAATAACTTAAACAACACACGTGACTTGTAATGTCACTTCATATTTTATTCAGTGTTTCATTAGTTGATGCTCTACATTTGCTTTAACTTGTATTAAATAACACAAAAGTAGACATTCAACTGTTACAAACTTTAATATTTGTACAGTACTATATAATCAACATTTATGAACGCCCAAAAAGCTCAGCAAGTACAGACCTCAGATAGGATTGATTTTGTATATATCTTAACTCAAAATTACCTTCACAACGGATTTTATTTATATACAGGTTATTTTTTATATATATCCGAATTATATTTTATTGGTTTGGAATTCAATATAATTAGTGAGTGGGTCATCAGCCAGGGGTCAAGTGAGGGAGGTGGATCACGTCAACACGAGGAAGGGAATGACAGTAATCCTCGCATCAGTGTGTGCTATTCTGTACGTTAAACTCTAAGAATTAATTCACTTATAGGGATAAATTCAGCGAAGAGCACGTGATTCTTTCTCTTTGACTGTTACACGGTAAAGGCGTGGTCTGTCACACAAACACCACCATTAAACTAGATAAAATACGAAAGGTGAACCAGGCGTGGAAGGAGGCAAGGAGCCGTGGAGCAACTCACCAGAGTCTTCATGATGCGGTGAGGAGAGCAGCAACACTGCCGGTATCAAGGGGCGCGCCCCTTATATACCTCTGAGAAAGGGGAGGTGTAAGGCTTTACCCAAGGTCGCCCGCCGCCCATCCTCCTAGGGGATCTTCCTTAGGATGAGTCCTCCACCAGAAAAACTAGACCCGCCTCCCTTGGACCCGAGCCACACCCAGCTGCTGTTCAGTATGTGGATCAACATACGCCCAAGGAGAAACAACCTCCAGGAGACGCTCTTGATGTATTTAACAATCGGGGTGATGAGGAAAGTACTACCTGCATCATACTATGTTTGTACATTATTACTCCTGTACCATTATTTCTTACAAGTGTTGCCGTAACAGCACACAGCCTAATAACTGGTGGCGCGGTAGTTGAACACAGGTAGCCCGAGGCGGGTGGTGGGGAGGCACTACTGGTGGAGGTATGTATAGGGGACCTTGTTGTCAGGTGCGGCACACTGGTAGGCCGCTGCGCTAATACTGGTAACGAGGAGGTTTAATTGGCATAGATTCACAAACTTATCACGTAATTTAGATCATATTGCTTTAAACCTTATTTGGGACGGATTACTCTGTAGTTAGTTACATCATTTACATAGGTGTGTTATGAACAAAGGCTCTTTGTCTGTAAGTCCAGTGTTTCATTCGTGTTTTAAGACTTTACCACATGGCATCTTAATCTGCCCAGTGCGTAAACAGTTTTCTCTCGGTTGCGCTACAAGTGAACAAGATCTCCTTATCATTGAATGTTTATTATTGTACTCTACTCACCATGTGACCTTTACTTGAACATTACATAGCTGGGATAGGTCACCTGAAGATTAGCCCCAGCTTATTTCACTTAATGACTAGCCCCAGCTTATTTCACTTGATGAATAGCCCCAGCTTATTTCACTTGATGAATAGCCCCAGCTTATTTCACTTGATGATTAGCCCCCAGCTTATTTCACCTGATGATTAACCCCCAGCTTATTTTTAAAGACTAACCCCAGCTTATTTCACCTGAAGACTAACCCCCAGCTTATTTCACCTGAAGACTAACCCCAGCTTATTTCACCTGAAGACTAACTCCCAGCTTAATCCACCTGAAGACTAACCCCCAGCTTATTTCACCTGAAGACTATAGCTTATTCCACCTGAAGACTAACCCCAGCTTATTTCACCTGATGATCAAACACTCAAACGCTACATGGGATTATGTTAGGTTAGCGTTAGGGAATTTATTTAATCTTCTTAAGGTGAAAAAATAAATAAATCTTGGGTATGTAGTTTTATCGTTGTCCAATAAACACTCTTGTAACACAAATATAATAACAGTTCGTCAGTCGCCTCCTTGCTTCCTCTCTTTTAATGCACACATTTATCTCCTGCTTTAAGGGCCTTAACGTAACCACTTGGCCTAACCTAATATAATAAATATTTGAGATTTTTTTTCTCTTATGCACCATTTGTACGGTACTCTTCTTTCATTCTCATCCATATTTTCTTTCTCTCTCATCTACATCTTATTTTTCTCTCATCCATATCCTCTGTCTCATCCTTTTCCTTTTTTACTCTCATCCAAATCTTTCTCCCTTTACTACTACTACTACTTTTTTTTTTAAGAGTGGCCTCCAGCCTCCCCCAATAGCCACACCTTCGCCACCATTTTATTACCTTAATATTAAATATCCTAATACATAAGTAGCTATCCTATCTGTGTTGAATTAGTTGAGCCGCAGATCGATGCGGCATTCAGTGACTGTTGCCTCATAGTCAATAACTGCAGCTGTTGTCGGGATTGGGGCAGAAGCTCTCGTTCCCTGAGGCAGAGCAAAGCCGACCGAAGAAAGACAGTCGACATCTCATCCAGGCTATAACGTAACTTCTTGCTGCTTCTTTCGGAGATCACCTCCGAGAGTCTAGCGCGAAACATCTTGCTGGTCATCCACAGAGGTTGTGAACACTAGAGGAGTGAAGCTGCCTTGATCAACGTTTTGAATTCTCTCCCCGTATGCCCTTCTCTTGTCGTTCTCGTTCCTCCTGTGTGCAGCATCGAGAGCTAGGTTACGGTGACATGCGGCCATGGGATCAAAAATCCTGATGTCGAAGAAAGCTTGCTGTCTCTACTACTACTACTACTAATAATAATAATAATAGTAATTTCTCTCTCATCCTTATCCTCTTTCTCTCATCCACATCGTCTTTCTCATCCACATCCTCTTTCTCATCCACATCCTCTTTCTCCCTCATCCACTTCCACTTTCTCTTTCATCCTCCTCCTTGTTCTCTCATCTACATCCACTTTGTTTCTCCTCATCCTCATTCTCTCTACTTCTCCTCTTCCTCCTCTCTGTGTTAATTTTGTCTCCTAACTGGTATTAAGTGTACATAATTATCTAGTTCAGGCAGTGTTGATGGGATTTCTATTCTGATTTTATACATCCTTATACATCATTATACATCCTTATACATCCTTATACATCATTATACATCCTTATACATCCTTATACATCATTATACATCCTTATACATCATTATACATCATCACGCACAAGAAATAGTAAAAAAACGAACCTTTATGAATCTAGTCCTCTATTGGCCAGAGAGAGAAAAACTGGTTCCCTTGATGTCATAGATAATCAACAGGTATAGGCTAATGTATCACGGATCTGATTGGCTGTTTAAATTAGATATTATGAAAGAGAAAACCCAGATGTATCTAATATAATATAGGACTAGGCGTGTGTGTGTGTGTGTGTGTGTGTGTGTCAGTTCTGGGCAGCCGAAACGGCATAATCGTTTTTCATCAAACTTGGTGGAAAAATCGCAAAAAAATTCGTAGAGTGGAACAAACCTGGTCCCATATCGATGGTTTCTTTAGGAAGCCATTACATAACCATTTTATTTACGATGGAAAACGATGCAAGTCTACGGACTTGGCACACCCTCATTCGCTGTACGCTGTCAGCCCACGATTGCAGTTATCGTACGGCTCTTCCTCCTCCCCCACTGAAGGGGAAACAGAAAATAGTTAGAGATAACAGGTGGGGGGGGAGCTGAGTTTCACCATGCGTCTGGATGCGCTGCTTCAACGTTACCAGACGACCTTACAGCTACAGTGTATACTTATTCCTGTGGGTGACTGTACATGGAAAAAAAGAAGAGATAAAAAGATAATAACAGGAATGCATGGAGAAGATGACTACAATAGACACAGGGTTGAATATAGACAGTGAAACACACAGGAGGTTGACAAAAATAGACAGATTCATACATGCACAAATAGACAATATGGCAACTAACATGACAGACAGACAGCTGACCGACTGGTTCACATTAGACAAACAGGCAGACACACGCCAACAACGCATAAGACAGACAGATTTGACGACACAAAGAGCACAGACGGGCTCACAGTCAAACACCACGCAGACGAACAGACAGTTGGGATGGCAATAGACAGGACGGATAGACTTGAGACAGATTAGAAGGCATTTATAAACACGAATAACACCAAATTGACCATAGCTGCGTCAGTGAGGGTAGGAGGTCTTACATCCACCAGCGTAAATAATAAGACTCGACACCCTCGGCGGAAAGAACATCGATGGTCGTGTCAGTCATGAGATGGGCCTAAAACTACTCTTAGATGATGACTATGATGACTTAACACAGGTGATGACTTAAGCAGATGGTGACTAACCAGAATCAAGGTCACTTCTCTTCATTAATATAATTTATCTCGGAATGATCATCGTGATTCATAATAATTTTTTTTTATGATTTTAACCTCTCCTATGGCGAATATTTCTTTAACTAATTATTCTAACCTTTATTCTTCTTCTTATTATATTAGATACTGTAAGTATCCGCGACCATGATTATAACAACCAGGACATGATTATAATAGCAGGACCATGATTATAACATATATTGATCTTCAATTTGAAAATATTGAATAATATCTTTTAATTTATTTAACACTTTCTGTATGAATTTCTTATGGGTAAACAATTATTCTATGAGATTAGCATAGGAATCCGTTGGTGATAGTGAGTTCAGACCGGTGTCGTTGTCCACTTACTAAAGATTAAAGTGATGGAATTTTGTTTTACAGGTTTTATAATACTTAACGAGTGCGTGGTGCATGGTGGTGGTGGCGGCGCGTGGTGGTAATGTTGAGTGTAGCTTGTCAGCTGTTCATATTGCTCCCAAATATGGAATTTTCTCAGAAGGGTTTTAAACTGTCTTGTAAGAGAGATTTATATCAGAACGAGTTACACGTATTTTGAGTGATTGAATAATCATCGTCCTCTCCTCCACCTCCCTCCGGTCACTGCCCTGTTAAACCATTAACTTCAAAAGGTTAGACCGTTAACCTAAATGGGTGAAACTGTTGTCCTTAAAATGTTAAGCCATTATCCTCTGAAGGTTAAACCATCATCCTTAAGAGATTTAAACATTATTCTATGGTGTTGGTAATTTAATGACAACTCTGGCTTTCCATGTCACCCCGTCTGGTTCCCGAGATATGCTAGGGACTGTCAGTTGGTTGAAAATGTTCAAAGGAGGGCCACCAGACTGGTGCCTCCACTTTGGCACCTCAGCTACCCTGAGAGATTGGAGTGCCTGAACTTGCCTAGCTTATACTACAGACGGGCAAGGGGGGACCTAGTTGAGGTGTATAAGCATCTCAGGGGGCACTACTCAGTCGAGTGTCCTTACTTGGAGCTGGCGGACGCTCGCCCCACAAGGGGTCACAGCTCAAGATTGAAGAAGCCGCAAGTCCAGAAAACTGTGAAGGCAAACTTTTTCGGAGTGAGGGTTGTAAACTCTTGGAACAATCTACCAGAGAGTGTTGTGACGGCACCGAGTGTGAGCTCTTTCAAGACAAGACTTGACCAACACTGGAGCGGGTTCAGGTACATTCAGGAACCGGTGCATGCCCAGTATTTGCCAACATTGCGTGACAGAGACGTGACCGATCGCCCGGGCGGCGAGTGAGCCGATCTTTTGGTGAAGAAGATAAATGAAAAGGAAAAGTATTCAGAGACGTGACCGATCGCCCAAGCGGCTAACGAGCC